TCATCCAGATGTGGTTCCCTTTTTACTGATCCTCTAGTTGCTTTGTGATATGTTGAGTTTCTCCTAACGAGATGAGATAACCTGATCTCGGTATAAATGTAGACGGTAGCTTCAGCTATCATACTAGATGGCAAGACAGTGGTGTCATGAATATTTGAATACGCTTACCTCCGATTCCACTGCCACTCACAACTGGACCGGGACCTGAAAATCGATGTTCATATACAACAAATTCGGGTTTAACATTTGACTGTAGAGAGTAATTGGAGCACTCTCAATAAAAAGTAGGACAAGAGTATCATGATAATTAAAAACTCTTACCTCCAATAGGAAGTTGACCACTCCGTGGCGGGAAAACCCGGCCGATTCCACTGCCACTCACCACTGGACCGGGACCTAAAAATCGATGTTCGTTTAGAATTCACTGCATTACATTAACTAGTTTGAGCAATCCGAGAGAATTCATGAACTGGACCCACTATGGGTCCTGGTCTTGAATACGAAATGAAAATTAAAAACAACGCAATATTACGGCAAACCTCTGATAACAAAATGAATCGGAAGTTTACTTTTTTCCGAATCATCTGCAATGCTTGCCAATTGAAGGAACACGTTTTACACGTATTGGATATTGGATTCAATGCTTCAGAGGAGGGAATGGGGCTCAGGTCTATGTCTGCATGTGTTTCTAATCTCTCATTTTGCCAAATTCTTCACTTATTCGCGTTTATGATGGTCACTTTTTGGTCACGTTCGGAAGGTCTTGAAAATTTCAACTATTCACCAATCACATGCACAAATACATGCCTTTCGTGAAACCCCAGAGATAATACTTTAGAAGAAGCAAATTCAACTCCGGTTTTAGCTGACAATGAGAGTCACTGGGTGAAGGAAGCAAGTGGGAATGCGAAAAATGATTGCTTTCTTCGCCAGTTTCAATGTGCTGTGGAAAAGTGTAAAATCGAAACCGAGTTGCACCAGGCACCGTGTAATTTTATCATCATAATGGTAAAAACGGAGATATTACCGCACTGCCGAATCAGATCGTAAATTGAACATTTGTAACTATCAGTCCTAAGTGACAAACAACGTCGTAGTCAAGAATTGCAAGCAGACAACCATCCTTAGTAATATTTATGTCACAGTTATCATCAGATAAGTTCTCTGACCACTTAAATATTTATGTGTGTACATAGCTAAGATGCAAAAAGAAATGTTCACGACGAATACTCCTAACCATGAAGTTCTGACATGCCATTTGCATCCTCCCATACATTTTTGCCGTCGACACTGATAACAGGTCCAGGACCACCAATAGGAAGCCCATGATCACCTGAAAGGGCATCATATTAAAGCCTGATGATATGAGTCTTGTGTCGTGGATATCACGACAAAAAGAAAGATAATTGTTTCCGCTTTGAGCAATACCGTGGACCTGAAAAAGAATGACACGATGGCAACTTCATGTTCAGGTGATCTCTTTATTACTCCGAACAATCTCTTGAACGAGATCCCTTTTGCAAACATTTGAAACACAATCCTTTCTCCAGGGTTCTATCTTTGATATGCTCATATAAAACACCGATTTCCTAACGGATTTCCCTAATCATGCAATCACAAAATGTCCCTCGCCAACCGATATTAACTGAGTGA